TCAATTGGTCACTTGGTCGTCTCAGTTGTGGACGTAAGATAGATTATCGCATTGTATTATATTTACAATTATTCATTCGAATGAATGATAGTAATAAATAAGCCACTAGAATACAAGATAACAATGTTACGGGACTTTCATATAAATAAAGGTAATTTTATAGTTAAGATAATTCATTGTATCAAATAAAGTAATCGTGTCTCAAAATCTGATACTTATATGGAGTTACCTAGCCTAGCATAATACATAATTAACAGTGTAGGTACCACTCAATTATCAATTACTCAATGCCCAGAAAGGCCGAACATCGCCGCGCATCTGATACAAATATGAAACAATAATTGTTGTTGGCTACAGTGAGAAAGGTAGAAAGTTAAGTAAACCGGAATTCGAACCTGTATCTGCAGTTTAGGTGGATTTTGAAAAGTCAATACCAAAGGTCAGTAACATTAACTATTGATCTATATCTAAGAAAAAAACTTTAGTTTGACAAAAACAGTGATTTTGTACAGGTATGGGTCTGCTTTTGAAGTTGATAAACTAATTAGGTTTAAAATTAATTTAATTTACCACAAAATTGTGAAAGTAAATTCGAAATGATTGAGCAAGATAGTCTCAAATTGTTTTAGCGATTGCATTCTGATTACAATTACAATATATATGCATTTAAAGGAAAAAAATATATGCATGTAGTATAATAACAAAATCTCGTAAAACAAATTGAGCAATGTATATTTACACGCTTACATTAAAGTTGGGCAAGTTTAACACTAAAGTGTTTTTTTTTTTTCAATTAGGTTAATTTTCTGTCAAGGTCCATTCTTCAAAAAGCCTGACGAAATATTTCTTTCGTGATAATTTCCAACAACTATTTGTTAAGAAATTATGCAGTATGCAGTTACTGTATTTGCGCACTTATTGACGCTACAAATGTTTCGTTAATACTACCATAACCTGTTTGGTTTTCAATCTGCACTAAAACAGTTAGTTATTCGAAATTTTTATACAAAATAAGGGGAGATCAATTAATTACGCGAGGCGATTACCTCTTCCCTTTGGTGAGACTTTTTGTGCAAGATTGTTTACTTGCAAGGTCCTCTTCAGTCTCACCAATGACGTTTAAAGTGTTCATTTCCAGAGTTTTACCAATAGATGTAAAGTACGCGTTTAACTCGTTGAGTGCATCTTTTTTGTGCATATTAGGTTTACTTAATTGATCAATAGGTTGGCTTTTAGGCATATTTCAATTGTTGATGGTTTGTATGGTATTCAATGTCCCTTTAATATCGCCACGACGTTTTTCTATCAAATTCCTAAAATATCTTCTTTTTTCTGATTTTATTATTCCATTACACGTATTTCTGTAATGTTTGTATTCACTCATCATACCTTCGTTATTCGGGTTTCTTTTTAATTTTCTGTGCAGTTTATCTCTTTTTCGCATGCAGTTTAGCAGACCCTCTGTTATCCAAGGTTTTAGAGGTCGCTTTTTTTTTTCGACACATCGCTGACAGACGTGTACTTCGTAACAATATCTTGTAGGATATTTACTAAAATTTCGGCTGCATTATTACAGTCTTTTGCTGCAAAGTAACTGTCCCATGATATCTCTTTAATTTCTTGCTGAATTCTTTGGTATTGAATTTTGACTATTTTACCCATTGAGTCATTTGTTTTTCCAAAAGTACTCGAGAGATCAACATGAAGAAGAATAGGGCAGTGGTCAGTGAATTCATTGAAAACAATGGTTTGTGCTTGTCAACTGGTTTTTATCATAAAGTGGTCTAAACAAGCAGTTTGTCGTGTAGGTATATTAACTCCCGTTAATAGTCCGTGTACTGCCAATAAATTGAGGTATTGAGAGATATTGTCATTTTCGCTCAGAATATTCAGATTAATATCTCCTGTGAGTATCACATTAGCACTTTTAATGTTATTAAGTACTGTGTCTAGGGAGTCAAGAAAGTTTTTAACGTTTTGAAAACTCGGGGGGCCTGTAAATGCATATAACACTAATATTGTAGTCTAACTCAACAAGTAGACAGTTGCCGTCATTAAAATCGGGTTCAATGGTAGTTACTAATAAGTTAAGTTTTTAGCGTATTGCCTGCACTTATAAAAAAGTGTTTTCGTTCGAAACGATAAGAGTTCGGAAATGAACATATGTGCATTTGTCCCTTTAATTCCTAAGAGAGCACTATTCAGTTTTTTCGCCGATTCACGGTTATACTTACTTAAGGCGTCGAGAATTTTTTGTTTGCGTTGGCCACTAATTAGTTCGACTATAATATTCCCCTGATCTTGGTTGATCTTTATGAGTTTTTACGATAACTGGAGGTGATTGACTGCTTATCATACTTAACATTCAAAGTGTTACAAATAATTTCGAAATAGTTATGTAAGTTTTCTTAATTTTGTTTTGGAACTGATTTTATCTCTAAACACTTTGATTACATGGTTCTCTGCGTGTCCTCTAAAAATTTTTCAAGTTCTGAACAACGGATTGAGCTTTTCGTTTGACTTTTTCAGTGTAAGCAGCTCCTTTTTTTGAGTTTCAAGGCTGGTTTTAATATCATCGTAAAAACATGACAATTCTTTAATCGACGATTGCAAGTCAGCCACGCGGTTAGAAACATCATTTTGTGACTTTTTAATTAAAGAGCTACTTCAAATGACTCAAAATTTGGCAATGTAATTATTTATGACTCGTTGGCATGACCATTTTTGACCATGATGTCGACCGGTTAGCTTAGAGCATCCGGGCGCAAGGCGCAGGTTCAAATACATCTTAAATGTAGAAGTTTTCGCCAAAAATACGCATTTTAAATTTCATTCCTCTCCAAGTACAGAGTAAGATGTAAAATTAAACACAAAAATAATGTCCTCGTATAGTTTTATTGTATTTTATATAAAAAACATATTCACTCATCCATACATCCCTTATTATATATAAATACAATTCTGTTTCTTGCGTACAGAAATATTCAGAAAATAGCATTGGCTAATCACGACATTTAGCTAGCATTAATATCTAAGTAAGATTCATTAACATAAGCATTTTATAATACATCGTGTGATAATTAATGTATTCCATTAATTGTTATTGAATACATGAAGTTTAGACTTTAATATTTACTGTAAGATAAATTTATCGTTTAGGTACATATATTACACATCGCATTTAATTATTTATTTATTCCATAGTAATCTATTTTTGCTATAATTTCGAATTGTTGGCAGAACCGCATAAAAGCAAAATAGAATATCACCTATTTATAAGTACGAAAATTCCTTAACACATAAACAGCTGGCACAATGAAGATCTAGATGTGTTTCATATTGTTACAATTTAAGATTACAAACTATTTTAAGCTATACGATACTTACATGAAAATATGTAAGTCATGTAACCGATAATATACACAATAAATAAAACCATGGAATGTTATTATAATTACGATGGACGTGGGCGTAGTGAGAACTACATATTCAGGGAAGTAAGGATAGAAACATAAACTTTTAAAACGTCCTTAATCATTTGTTTTATTTTTCTTAAAGAATGACTGGCCTTTTCAGTGCCCAGAATTCCTTGATCCCCCTTACCCTCGCCATATCCACTCGGCGATGAAAATTAAACAAAAATTATAAAAGATAGAAAAATAAATCGTAAACTCTCAGCGACAAATTATAGCAAAAATATTTGCAAACGATTAGGCCACGAATGGTGTCACTGCGTGGGCGCCGCGGCGTTCTCCAACGACTTCGCAAGCGATGAACGGTCTACAGACGACGGCGCTTTTTCACGACATCGTTCATTCACGAATTCGTTCATTCGCGACATCGTTCATTCGCGACGTCGTTCATTCGCGACGTCGTTCATTCGCGACGTCGTTCATTCGCGACGTCGTTCATTCGCGACGGCATTCATTTGTGACGTCACGCATTAGCCACGTCGTATCTTGGCGACGGATCAACAGCGTTGAGTGCTGTTGCAACAACAAAGCGACGGCCAGCGCTCTGCTGTACCTAAAGATGAACAAATTTCATTATAGCAATGAGTGCACTTGGCGCCTCAACATTCTCATGTCCTTATCCCACCTAGGTGGGGTCGGCACATGTGAATCATGCTGTTAGCTGTATTGGCTAGATATATTACGACCGGCTGCTATCATGACGTCAACCCTCTTTGGGAAAGAACGTCCAGATCCGGAACTGATTATTTATCTGGTGGCTACAAAAATACTTGTCCCCTGTAGGAATCGAACCCACGACCCCTGATGTCGAAGCCAATAGCTTTATAACTGCGGCATCGAGTCAAATACGCGAGATAAAAAATAGTAATGAGTTTTGCGGTACAAAAGTTTCTTCAAACATTACAATGAAACTTGAATTTTAGTTTTTCTAAACGCCACTGCACTACAACTGAAGTAGCCTCGAGTAAGTTCTAGTCGAAATTCTTCGCACGTGATTGTACACCAGCACAAACAGTACAGTGATATAGCCACCCTACACCACTGTACTCACGGATATTATAACTTTGGGACATCTCGTGTCCATTGGCTCGGGCGTAAAAACCGACAACAATCAAAGTCGCCATGTAAAGCCAGGGAAAGCCAATATCGATATTTTCAGCCGATATATTAGGGTCCGATATATCGATACAAAATATTCCACATCAAAAGTCGTATCATAAAACGATATCTTTTCAAATTCGAAACCGGCACAGTCCGTATGTGTCAAATATTTAATACTTGACATATTATTTGGACAAAGGGGTTTCTAGGACCGATATATCGATATATTTCTTCACCTTTGACACCTAAGCCGAGCGCGCCGGAAATATTTGCGCGGCGGCAACAGAGATAAGCAATAACAGGTTGACGTAACGACTTCAGCAAGGTTATTCGACGAGTGTACGCTAGAGTGAGACGGAGAGAGAATGTGGTTGCGGTGAGAATGGGAGCGCAGTCGGCGGCCGTCGTACCGTACCGCGGCGGCTAGTGGTCGTGCGCGTCCGCGTAGAGCGTGGTGGCGATGTACGTGGTGGGCACGAAGCCCTCCTCGCGCGTGTGCCGGCGCCGCACCCGCGTCCAGCCGTCGCCCGCGTCCGTCTCCAGCACGAGCAGCTGCTCGCCGCACTCCATCCGCATTGTCGAGCCGGTGCCGTTCGCTGGAACACGACAACACATTACACTCGCCGCTTCAATAGATTCGATAAGGGTTGTTTCTCTGCATGCGGGGTGGCTAAAAAGTGAGATTAATTTGAATATGCTAGTGTTGTTTCCGTCGCTGGACATTCAGGAATGGATAAATTTTTCAACGTCGCGCAATCGAGAAGAGGTGCTCTAATTTTAGGGTGGAATATACATTTAGTAGCGACTTCTATGACACGCACTTTCATATTGGGCGTGTCATGTACGAAAGACATCCGGCCACTAAACATTTAAAATTGCGGCCATTAAACAAAGAAAGGGTTAACTACAGTATAAGTGAATTGTCATCACATGGACAGTTCATTTTGAAAGTAGTGTAGTTTAGTTGTAGAAAGTAAATTATAAATGTACTATACGATTTATCTAAATTAAAACTAAAACACTTGCGAAGAAAACTAATTAAAAATCCACGATTTGATCCTTACATATTACATGAGAATCAGAGCATGTTAATGGAAATCATAAAAAGAATCACCGCACGCTTCGTAGCTCACCTTCGAACGCGTACAGCGCTTTGCAGTAGCCGAGCGGCTGCAGGTCGGGCTCGTAGTAGTAGTCCATGTCGGACTCGTGGTCGTGCGCGTCGTGCTCGTCGTGGTCGTCGTGGTCGTGGTCGTGGTGGTGGCCGTTGGCGTGGTCGTGCGCGGCGGCCAGCTCGCCGCCGAGGCCCGACTCGGGCGAGCCGCCGGCGACGCGCGCGCCCGCCGCCGCGCACGCGTTCGTGCCCGTGCCCGTGCTCACCGACGACTCGGACGCGGAGCGCGACAGCGACTCGCTGTTCGAGCCGATGCTGCAAGGGTTTTTTTTTTTATATTTTAGTAGCCGCCCGGACAGATTTCGTTCTTTTTTTTATAGTATTAAAACCTTCCGTGGTCCTTAAGGAACATACAAAAAATATATTAGCCGAATTGGTCCAGCCATTCTTGAGTCTTGAGTTATGCGCTTACCAACATTCATTTTTATTTATATAGATAAAGATGACATGTGGGAAGGTAGCAAGCGACCTGCCGGTTCACTCGATGTTAAGTGATAACCGCTGACCATTGACATTTGCAACACCCGTAGGGTTGCACATGCGTTTGTCACCTTTTAATAAACGAATAGAATACCGGCGTGGAAGTGGAAGTGTAACACTTCTACATTTAGTCCGGTGACTGAGGTAGCCGGAGCCCAATTTTCAAAAGGTTGTCAACGCATCTGCAAACCTCGGGTGAAGCAGATGTCCATGGGCAGCGGTATTCACTTAACATCACGTGAACGGCCAGCTCGCTTGGCAACTTTTCACATAAAAAAAATATATGTTGACGCAATGTTTCGCGACAACATACCTTATGGCCTGGGCGGGTGGGGCCGATCCGTTCGTCCTAGAGGCCGGGTGCAGCGGCGGCGCGCACACCAGACTGTTCGCCTCCGCAAGCAACTCCTCGAACTTGCGCAGCTGCGCTCGAAGTTTCTTGAGCTTGTCGCAGCACTCGTTCAGCTGGCCTGCGGACACAACGAAAACCTAACTGTATATTATCATATTTATATTTATTTATTTTCTCGTCTGGTTGGGTTTATGAATAAAAATAAAACTGATAGTGATAGAGATATGATAAATAATGATATTAATATGTTGTGATTATTGTAAGAAGCGCAGCAAAGCTAAAATTATACTGAAATTGTACAATACGTTGTTAAGTATTTTAACAATGTATTGTATAATTTGTACATTACCTACATGGGTAATGTAAAAAAATGTTAAACCGAACATAATTAACCATAGATAAGGCTTAGTGTGCTGCACAAGTAGCACCGTGTAAAATGTCTAAAATTCCGTTTTAATTTTTCTCTACCGGTCTAAGTAGAAAGAAATATGAACAAAACGGTACTTGACTACCATATAGGCATTTTTTCTCTTGAGAATATAAAAATTAAATTTATTTGTATTCATTACCTCAATAAATTATAGACGGAACAATACATATATATATATATATAAACATTTTTCATATTTCAACTGTCCGAAACCGGTTCAATTAATTCATACTCATTTAAGTTTCTTACAACACTTACGAATGGCACGTTTAAATAATAATAAAAAACAAAATAAACGTTGATCGCTTAATTAAACTATTTCGTAAAACAAGGAAAACTGTATCATACCTTCCACGGTCATTGGGTCTCCTAACGTGGGGTTTGTTTCGTAAACGCCCTTCATTTTCATAAGACCTTCCATTGCGGCCTGCTCTTGTGCAACCTAAAAAAAACATAAAAATAGTAAATTACACATTTATTTAAACTTGGCGACGCCGCACGTAAATAAATAAATAGTACAATATACCTGCTTGTTTAACTCGTGGACCTTGGCCTGAAGTTTCTTTTTCTTCTGATTTGGTGGCAAATCTGAATAATCCTCCTTTCCATCCATCGACATGTTGTTCTAAAAATGAATATAAAACCAATTATTCATCAGCTCAAGGTCTAACATATTGCGCACTCACACAAGTTACTGCTCACATTAGGCGAATGACACGTTATTAAGCAATCCACGATTAACCTCTCTAGCGGTTTCTAAATCTTGTACTTTATACAATGCGAAAAGTGATTAACAGTTTTGTTACAGGATAATGTGGGTGCACAAGAAAGTAATTCTTTATTATTGCAAGTGGAAATAGGTTAACAGTTTGCATGTAAAATTAAGTCTACCCAATGTTATTTACGATTCTTTCTCTTTATGGAATGTGCCGCACACAAATATGTTTTATAATAATGTTTTGCCCCATCGAATCGCACACGTGCAAAATTGAACCCGTTTTTCTGAAGACAAATGGTGATAATAAATATACATTGTGTCTCTAGATGTCAAAATACGTGACCAATCAAACCACCAGCTACCAGCGACTGACCTTAAAAGAGTGGCACGCCTCAATAATCCTCTGTTGCCAAAGCGTTAGGCCAGATCGGGAAGGGATGTAGGCAAACAAAAGGCATTAGAAAATAAACATAGAATAACAGAAACAAAAGAAAGTGACGAAAACAATAGGAGGACTTTCGCCGTACCATCGGAGAGTCCAAAGCGAAGCGGGAACGGACGAAATGATCACGAGGATTGTCACAAGATTTATAAGTCCAATAGCATGTCGACTGTACAATGTATGACGATATGACAGCTATGAAAGAAGACTGTAGGACGAACAAAACTTAAATGCCCCTCAGTGAATTTGCTTCCGCGAGTGTTGCGCACTATTGTTTAAATGAAATCACTACCAATAAATATATCTAAAAAAACTACGTTCTAAATCTAAAACAGCTCGCGACTATACATCTTATTGTGGGAGCGAGACAAAGACCTATTTGGACTCCGGTGCGAACGTGAGGGCTATACCGTGCCTCGCAGTCGCTAGACCTCTTATATGAACCATCAGCCGATGAGACGATTCACATGCCGGAGCTTGACGGCATTTACCCGACAATCCCCCATTTTCAACGGACTTTGAACTTGATTGTACTTTTTTAATTTATGAACTGATTGTAAAAACAAAAACAATAAAAAACATTTTTTGCTTTGGTTTCGGATGAGCTGACCTTGGACTCTGGAGATACATAAATCAGGGAACTCCTCAAAATGAAATAGAATACATTTTCTATCCGTGAGTCAGATATTAGTCGGTTTTGTTTTTTTTTTTGCACTTGATTCAATGCTCACATGTCCACATGTGACAGCATTTGCTTAGGTAGCATTTATCAAACTCGTTGAAACCTCGCCTTGTAACGAGTTCCGTGTCCGCTCTACTAACTGAAAGCATAAACGTGAATCAACAGAAAAAAGTATGTGTACTTATGTATGTACGTATGAAGTTTAGCGTGTTAGAAGATTAATAGAAAATGTTTCCATATTTTTTGTTTGTGCAAAAAAGACCCTAAATGCAATGGATAAAGATTCCATTAAATTACTTGGAATTGAATTATAGGTAAATGTCCTAAAGTTGTTACTGGTTGACATTGCAGCACCACGAAGTCGGTGTCGCTTTCTGGTGTTTCCCAAACGCGCCAAAAGAATTAAAAAAAAAAAAAAATAAAACGCAACGACTCGCACGAACTTCAGAGGGGCATTCGAGTTTCGCACGTGCGTGGCTGGTCGGGCGCATGCTCAAAACTCGCAAACGCACAACGGGCTCGACTTACTTCATCCCGCGTGCCGGCGCAACGGTCGTTACGCGTGCCCGTGTTGGTTTGGGATCGAACGGGGGGTGACGGAATATAAAAAGAAAAACACATTAATATCACCATCTCCCAAGCGCGCACGGCCACCGGAATCAGGGTTAATAACAGTAGATGGTGGAATACTAAAAAATTAATATAATAAAATAAAAAATAACATATTTAAACATGTTTCTGATATGCATACACATATATTAATATTGAAATAATATTTATCAATTAAAAGCTAAGAAGCTTTTTAAGTTCTAATAATACCCATTAACCTTATACTCATTGTTGGTTAGGCGTAAATATATGGGCTCATACAATATTAAAGATGATATAAAATACATCATGTTATTTTATAAAGAGATGCATATCATTTGATTTTCTGCATAGTCTCGGAAAATTCGTTTTTATTAAAAAAACGAGCACTCATATAAAAAAAAATATCTAATATAAAATAGAAAATAATCAGTAAACGTTTTTTGCAGAAATTGCCAATAATTTCTCTTGTAATGTTTTTTAAGGCCTTTTGCTGTGATAGCACGCAGCAGCTTCGGCTGTGGCACGAATGGAAGTATTATACTCAAGCGTCGTCTGGTTTGTGAGGTAACCACTTTTAAAGATTGTTGATGTATTGGCAACTCCTCAGGTCTTGTAGAAGTCCATGGGCGGCGGTAATCACACACTTCACTTCTACCTTTGCCAACTTTTCACACAAACGCCAAAAAAAAGGTTAAACAAAATAATATGTACTAGAATACCATGTACTAAATACTAAGTACAAAAAATATAAATAACGCCGGGAATCCTGTTGAAGCGGAATATTTGAAGATTGAAATACTTCCCTCGTTGTGGCTGTGTGTCCCACCGTTCCAATGCTAAATATGGAGTATGTTGCCGGTCGATTTAATATAGCAAAGTTTCTCACCTGTTTAGAGGTAATCGTGGTGAGAACATCAACTGCATATAATTTGGGTGAAGGGTGTGCCTCAGCTTGATCACGACAGTATCTCACTGGATATTGAGATTTGATCATCGCTTACCGCAGCGACAGCTAAACCCAGTTCTGCAGAGCAGTGTGTCTCACCTTATTGGAACCAATACGTCTGCGGGCAGGGCAGTGCTGCGCTTCTCAACAGCACATCGTGGAAATATGCGGAAAGGATGTGTGTCTCACCTTGATGGAGCTACATATTAAGTCGCTCACCAGCGACGAAAATAAGCAGTTGGCCAGAGCAGTGTGTCCGGTCTCGTTGAGGATGTAAGAGGGCAAAACAAAGTGCCGCGGCTCTAAAGACTGTTCGTAACGGCAATGTAACTCACCTTATGGAGCTGAAATAGAGAGTCGCTCGGCGTGCTTGTCGCACGACGGCTACAAACAGTTCGCCATAGCAATGTGTCCCGTCTCTTTGAGAACGTAAGTAGGCAAAGCAGAGTGTCGCGGCAATAGTCCGTTCGAAACGGCAGTGTAACTCACCTTATGGAGATGAACATGGAGAGTCGCTCGACACGCTTGTCGGACGACAGCTGCAAACAGTTCGCCAGAGCGGTGTGTCCCGTCTCGTTGCGCGCGTAAGAGGGCAAAACAAAGCGCCGCGGCTCTAAAGACTGTTCGCGGCGGCAGTGTGTCTCACCTTGTTGGAGCTGAATATAGACAAAAGGCCGCCGCGCTTCTTGATCCGGTGGCCGGAGACGGTGCCCCGCGCGGCGGTCAGGTGGTTCTGTGGCGCCACCTCGGCCATCTCGCCGCCGGACGTCGCTTCGAATCTGAAGTCCTCCGGTGGCACGAAGCCCGATTTGTACCTCTCTATTACTAACTGTGTGTCCTGGGCAGAAGAGTGAAATTTCAAACTTAACTCGATAGTGTTAATCTTTGCCAACAATAATTCACTCGTGTTACACAAACGTTAATATTTTGTTTTGTTTAAAGAGATTTTCAAAGGAGACGAATTATTGGTTCTCATCGGATAACATAATTTAACAAATCTTGATTTAATCTGTTGTTAGTCGCATTCGCAATGAATTATGAAAGTTTGTACATTTCACGCATTTTTTATTTCTAGTGTATCTATTTATTAGCGATAAAATACCGCCTTCTTCAAACATGAGCGAATTAGTTAACATGTTCAATTTGTTTATTTTATTACTTAACATGTCTTGTGAGATGACTAGTCCAACAGCGGACTACTGTATGCTGCTAATAAGGACAATAAATATAAAAAAATAGTAATTTGGTTAATTAAAAGTATTTCTTCAAACAGTGTAGTCATGTACATAAATAAATACTGTAAATGTAAAAATTACCTCTTTCTCGTTAATACTATTCGCCGCCAACTCCATACCGTCAAGGCACTGCATTATGATAGGGAAAACTTTCCTCTCAACGTCCACGGAGCTTAACATGAAGTTCTTTATATTTTTGATTCTCTTTTCGTCCAAGTCCTAAAATAAAAAAATGTGGAATACAGTCAAATAATACAAAGTAAAGTATCAGCCTATACATATCCCACTGCTGGCTCGGCAAAGGCCGCCTCTGTACAGAGGGTATCAGGGCATAGTTCACCACGCAGCCCCATTGCGGATTGGCGGACTTCACATATCTTCGAAATATTTTTTTTATTATCATTTTGAAAATATGCAGGTTTCCTCACCATTTTTCCTTCACCGCTGAGCACGTGATAGTCTCAACTAATACAAATGGTACTTTTTTTAAGCCCCGAGTAAAAAGAAGGAATTCTATAAGTTTGTCTCTGTGGATCTGTGTGTCCGACTATGGTGCGGTTTTTTTTTTGTTTGAAAGCCGACGTAATCAAGATGGTTCTTAGCTATGTAGATATTCGAGCCCTTTTGTTTTAGGGGGCTATTTAAAATTATTATTAATTTCTTAATTTAAATTTTTAATGTTATAGGAGTAAAGTAACATAAAGTGCAGAGAATAACAATACTGTAATGTTATTTTCACTATAATGAAGGTTTAACATGTATGCTGCGTTGTATATACAAAGTTGATACAGGTACATGTCGATATCTCATACGTTAAAAGATACAAAAAAATAATGGGCTGCTACATTCCATATATAAGAGCTAGTTGAAAAAAAAAAATGTGCCCAGAATAGACTTGAGTTTTAACTATTTGTCATTCCCCGTGCGACCCAGTTGGAGCCGAGCCAAAGTGCAAGCCGCTGAGCGATTACGCTCGAGTGGCCACTGTTTCACCGAATTGTTACGAAGTTCATGACTCACATTTACATCTCTGTTGAACATAATTCAAGGTATTTTACCAAAGTGCCTTATAACCGATGCTTTAAAACTATTTCATTGCGAATGTTCTTTTTTCATATTAATTTTTAACATTTAATATTGAGAGACGAAGGCGATCAAAATTCAAAATTGTACATTGTACAGAAAAAGACGATCGAAATTCGGCCCTTAAACGTCCTCATTCTAGAATGTTTTACACGAGAAGACGACAGAAATTCTGCCTATATAAAGGGACGGAAGAATTAAAGAATCCAGTTCAGTGATGGAGCTCGAAGTAGAAAGAAATAAAAATGAAAATGTACAATGAAAAGTGGTAGTGAAAGTGAAAAGAGGTCAAGAAGTGTAAGTCAAGTGCCTGTTTAGGTTTGTAAATAAAGTGAAGAATTAGAATACCGGTCTTACTCGCGTACTCGCTAAGAGTACGAATATTTGAATCTGAATCTAATCCATGACCAAAGTGCAAAGCCTAGGGCTGATTTAAAAGCAATGCTGTGCTGTGCTAGGGCCGCGCAGCTATGTACATCTGCTATTGGATGGATGGGCCGACTCGACTGAGGAAGAAAAACGGCCTCGCATTACACTGGCCTAAAGTTACGTTTACGTCATTATAAATGACGTAAATCATAACTGAAAAATTATAGGCAGGTGCCGAGGATCGAGGGTTAGATTCCCACACTGGACAAGTATTTTGTGCCCCACTGTTAATTGTTCCGGATCTTGTTTCCAAAAAGAGTTGACGTCAGGAAGGCGGCACTAACCGTCGGGAAGCAGAAAATTTTGGGCAAAAGAGAACATACTGGTAATCTGTCAAGCATTGAGATTTTGTTAGTTAGACAACATTTTTGTCGTGGTGAAAATCATCAGTAGGAATTAATCCAAACTATTTTTGGAGCACTCCCTATGATTAATACGATGGAAAATGTCAAGAGATGAAACTAAGCACCATAAAGCCAAAGGATCAGGTAGATCGGAAACAATTTGTTTTAGACAATCAGAGCAGGTCCACACTGAATGCGGTAAAATGAAAAATGGCGGTGTAAGATGCTTCAGCTATGAGAGAAAAGGGGGCAATATTCCACATGCAGACCAATTTTCACGCGATTCTAATGTATGTATGAAATGTGCATCTTAAACATGCTAGAAAGAGACTATGCTTTTATTAGCTCATCTGAAGTCGGCGAGCGTGCTACGAATAAGCATACTATTTGACATTAAATATTGGCATTTTTTGAGGGAGAGATGCGCTTATGTTGCCGTCTTTACATGTCCACTAAAAGGGCGAAAAGGACGCCCACTTCTAGTCGCATTTCAATGACATGATACATTGGTGCTACTCAACTAGCCACTGCATGTCCGACCCAGCAATACTGATGTATATCTGCAGTCGAGTCTATTGAAAAATAACTGTGATAGGGCCACGGAACAGTTCGCTGTTACACGAATGGACAGGTCCGTCCGAGGACGTACCACAACCTCACAGCGCTTCTGCGTTTCGTCTGGTGAATGAGGTGGCCGGGGCTCACTTTACTAAAATATGACAAGACATCTGCAATCCGACGGATGTTGCAAATTTTTTTAATGTGAAAATTTGTTAAGCGAGCCGGCAGTTCACCTGATATTAAGTGAATACGACCGACCATGGACATCTGCTACACCCGGGATATTGTCACACACATGTCCATGGGCGGCGTTTATTGTTTAACTTCAGCTGGTTTCCCACGTTCTCGCATAAAAAAAAAGAAATTCGGAATGCCATAAATTGGTTTGGGCACCTGCAGCTGTTTGAAGACGTGCGGCAACCGCTGCTCGTAGTGCTGCCTCTGCGCCTCGTTCGTCTTCCGCAGCTGGTCGGTATACTCCTGCTTGGCCTCCTCGCACGCCTGGCTCCTCGCCTTCACGTTCGCCTTCTGCTTCTCCAGCTCCGCGCGGCTGCGGAGGGGAGGTGTGTGAGCGCAACGCGGATATACAGGGTGGCAACGCATCTGCAACCTCCACGGGTGTTGCAAGTGTCAATGGGGGGCGGAGCGCAACGTGGATATACTATTACTGGGTGGCAACGCATCTGCAACCTCCACGGGTGTTGCAAATATCAATGGGCGGCGGAGTGCAACGCGGATATAATACTATTACTGGGTGGCAACGCATCTGCAAACTCCACGGGTGTTGCAAATGTCAACGGGCGCCGGCTATCACTGAAAATCAGGTGAATCGCCAGCCACGTTTGCCACCTTCTCACATAAGACGCCAATCCGCAGTGGGGTCGCGTGGTGGGCTATGTCCTAATACCCTCTGTACAGCGGAGGTCTTTGCCCAGCAGTGGGACACATACAGGCCGTTACTTTACTTTTAAAAAAACTACGTGGACTATCCCCACGAGGGGATTTTTTGGAGATGTCTAAACGTTTTCTTACGTCGACATTATACTAATTACATTTTGTATGCTGAGTGAAATAAGCAGCGACCAGACTCTTAGCCGTGTGCTAAGGGCGAGTCACGAGTGAGTAGCACATCTGCGATTGCTTTGATTGTGCTAATTAAGTATAATGCTACATAATAATAATGGTAATAACAACGCATATAATCAAGAATCCCATTAATATAAGCCCCTATAATATGCTGCCTTTTTTACGAGTTATGTTCGATGAAGCTCTACAAAGCCTTAATACTGGAACATCGTCCAATAAAGACAAAACTAGTTAACATATCGGTTTAAGTACTTTTAAGATTGAAAACTGGGTTGCCTTAAAAATTTAATTGTATTTTTTAATAATCTCTTTAACTCTTTAACAATTAACTCTGTCAAAATGTACATGATGAAGATCTATTGAATTGTATCTATTGTATCTATAGAATGCTAGAATTATAAAAGACGGATTGTTTTTTTTTTACTTTATGTTATACCGTTTGTGAGTGAGGCAATAAAATACAACGTGGCTATGCTCGCAAACGGAATTTAGTGCTAGAAGTTATCCAAAAATGCACACGTATTTATACGATTTATTTTTATATATTATTGTTTTTTGCACCCAATTGGTCATGATTGCTTCTTCTGGTGGTCATATTATAAAGCTTTCACAGTATCTGCCACAAGCCGCAATATTTTACATGTCTTTTGTAAAGACTTGCTTATCAAAAATAACGAGAAAATTAATTGTCACATAGTACTGCAGTTTACTCCAAAAGCAGAATTTTAAAAGGACGCAAATCCATTTGATGGATGAAGCTTTCATACATAGTAAGCACACTTACTATAACCAAAATGAAGTAAAGTGATCGCTTTAAACCGCATTAAATTCCAACTGCGAGTGCAAAGGGAATGTGCAAAGGACCTTTTAGCTTAATGGCGTACGTGACAATAGGACCATGCTTAAAGGCATCACGCTCGAAGAGACAAAAAATAATGAGTGCATTAAACTCTGTCACTATTTTCTTTCGCGACAACATTCGATTGTTAGAATACTCGATAAGTGGAAAATATAGTGTTGTAATTCGCGCATAAACGGAGTTATATTGTGATTTGCATGATCGCAGCAATATTGTAGAGCGAAAAAAGAAAATTAAGTATTAAAATAAGAATATTAAGTACTTAACCGCCAATTTATATCGTTTCGATCTAACTTTTGATAGATCCATTCAAAACGAAAAACCCCACGGTATATTCTAATCACTATATGTGTCAATAAAAAAAAAAAACCTAATAATTAAAAACAAAACATATTTTAAAACAGATTTTAGTTTTGGAATTCCATAACGCAATAACAAGCGACCTGGATGAGGGCGAAGGATCAAAATATAAAAAAAAAACTTTATTCATCGCGAAGTGTTCCTGAAAATATGAGGCGTCGTTATAAAAGCAAAGGCTCGACACGGACATTGAAAACGTGCGAAATTAACAGCAGGCATCGCGCGCCTCTTCAGACCGACTTTGATGAGTCATCAACGAAAATGAATAAAACACAGGCCCGGCGAGGGCAGTCGCTGTCTGCTGGATGATGAGTCTGAAAATAATCCTGGTCGACGATAAAAAAAAGAATAAAACCCAAAATTGGGTGCATTTATTTTCGTTCTTAAATAAAGTCGGCAGACGCCGACAGTTAAATCAATCGAAAACAAAATTCGTTTGCGTGTATTTTCTTATGTGGGACGTTGAAGACTGGCAGAATATTTTTTTTTTAGTTTTCAGGACATATTTTTTACACGACATATCAAGTTCTATGTTATGCATATCTTAACATAACATACTTTTCTTTTGCACTTAAATATCATGTTTATATAGTGTCTGGATTTTTATACATTATATCCTAGACTAGGAAAACATTACGTTCTTCACACAATATTTTTTACAGCAGCGGAGATCAAATCCAAAACCCGTTTAGCGCAAGAGACACGTTCACCACCCCGCCAATAGTCGTAGAAAGTTAAAAAGAACAACAATTTGGAATGAACGAATGAATGAATGAATGTATTTATCGCCATAATATGGTAATACATTGTGCTCTTAATATTCATAACTTGGTGCAAAATATTCGGCTGAATTAAACAAATATCAATATGATATTAAATAAAATAATAAAATATTGTGGATGAAATTTTTCTTTACTTATTCAGCGCACGCTTCCCTTACCTAAGACTAAGATCGGCGTCTGCCTTCTGGAAGGTCTCGAGCGCCCTCTCGGACTCTCTAGCGGCCCTCTCGTAGGCCCTCCGCGCCCTGTCCAGCGCTCCTATGGCCGAGTTGAGCACCGCCACCTGTTTGGCGCCCTCGCTGAGATGTTGCTGCAATGGAATGGAGCCAGATGACGGTCAAGTGCGGCGCCGACGATGTGTCAAGGAGCCCATTGACGCCGAGAATAACCCGGCTCTAAGAATAACGCGCTTTGTATGAACTATGCTACAAAAGGCGTTCTTTAAGTTTGGCACTAGATGGATAAGTGGCGCATTTGCCAAGCTATTTACTTCAGCGCCATCTTTAGTTACTTCTATTCCGACAGGGGGCAAGTGTATGTTAATTTGTTGTTGATTTATTGTTCTCGATCTGGGTGTTCATTTTCAAAGGCGAATGACGTCAAGCAGGTGCCCATAAACTACATGAAACATATGTTGTGCCGAACACACAGAATAAAGACAGGAGAAAGATAGAGATCACGATAATACACCGGCTTACGTATACAAAATAGATTTAACGGTCATTGGAGTCGTTTGGTCATTTTGAACCAATTTCAAAATGTAATTGGTCTGGGGCAGACAATACAGAAAATATTATGCAAAGTAAAATAAGAAGAGCTAATACAGGCCATCTTTTGACAAGTTGGACGCGAATATTTGGCACTAAATAGACCGTGCCGTACAATTGCTCTCACAAGAGCCTTGACCCAATCGTGGCAAGGCGCAGAGTTCGTATTGGGAACAATACGGCACGAAGACAAGCGCCCGCCAACTATGTTTAATAAGGCGAAACGTTTGCCAAATCGTTACGTAGTCTCGTCGCTTGCGTCTTCTTGTGTTCGGAAATAACGAATGAGAAAAAAACAAGCTCAATAGGTCAATGGAGACTAACCATCTTCGTGGAGTGGAAGATTAATTCAAAGCAATTTTCTAAACGGTGTACATTACAATCATAGTAAACAACGGTGGTAGGTGCAGTTGTGTGGTGTAGAACGACACTAAACTGCAACACGTATAATTTTGCTGGGTCCATAGAAATAAAATCACTAATGCAATTGGTACGCCGTATCGTTTGCGCGATCAAATTAGTAATACCTCTATCGAAATACGAGATGTGTCGTCGGGTGCCGTCACGCGTGTTGACGTTAGAATGTGGATAAACTAGTTGCAATCGTGTCACTTGCTGTTCTCCGTTCGCTCTAAAAGAGGTTTGATGTACGTGTAAATGACCAAGTGTGGACGGCGAAAGGAAAAGGCCGCTTGTGAAATGTCGAAACAGTTAGTCTTCGAAGTTGCCTCGGGAATCGAAGCCGGTCCGTATTACACATAACTTTTTTTATTGATATTAAATATTGCTTAAGCGATATGACCATTCTAGTAAGGATTGATAACTCGGAGGATATAACATATATATATCGTTTGAAGATCAAGCGGCTGGGCACAGAATAAAGGAGAAATAAAGGTTCAGTCAATATTTTCTCCTTTTGTACCTTTCTCTCTTCTCGCAGCTCCTTGGCAAGCAAATGCAACTCCCGTACGACGTTCGACTGTAGGTTCTCCGCAACAACTTCGCGCTGCCCCGCGAAGTCGCCCAGCTCCTGTAGAAGTTGTTTGAACGCTTTGCACGCTGAATATCTGCAAATTTTAAAACGGCTAACTACAAAACTGAGCAATTAAATTCACGGTCCCTTTGCCTCATACCATCATGGAGTAATGCACTAGCCGATTGTCGATAAACAAACACAAATGAATGTAAAGAAACTTGAATTTTCAACTATAAATGCAAATGCAAAGTTTTAAATTCCTTGTGTTGGTTTATAACTTTTGTCGTATATTTAAAGTATAAAACCATCATTTATGTCTTAAACGTATAGTTAAATTTAACCAATTCGTAGCGCCCTAAGCCAATATTCTTCAGGATTATTCCATATGTCACTTCCAACACTTGAATACACTCTACTTCAGTGATGTTTTATTGTGTATGCAATAACGCATATTCGAAATAAGCACGTGAAGGCAACCATTGTAGTATTCGAAAATATTATTTTAAATTTTTGAAATCATGTTTACCAAACAGTATTTAATGTGAAAAATAAAACTTACTGGTATTCATCTTCTTCTTTTCTTTTCGGTTGATAGCTTTTGACGAGCCTCCTGCAAAATCATTTAAATCACTTTAGGAATATCCAAAAACAATAACAAGTGCACAAAGTTTTCTTTTAACAAAAAGCATTTGCATAATAGCCTCGACATTCACAGAGCAGTCGATAGCGTTGGAAACTTTTTCGAGTGTATGTATAATTTAGTAAAAATCTTACATCTCGTATTCAATAAACGGAACAAAATAAAACTAGTGAAAGTGGACTTTCGACGGGTATTACGAAAGTCACCGCGCGAGTTTCGGTTGACAATTTATAACGTATACCGTAATCCTTTTACAATTTATGTAATTTGTATGAATTGTGTAAATTTACATGTGACCTGACTAGCACGGTTTAAGGTTAATGTTTTTTTATTTATTACGTAAGGTATTCGAAAACGTAGCTTTTTTTGGCATAAGAAAAGAAAATCTTCATTTATATGACATTTTTAAAGATCTCATTTTTGCATAACTCGTGTAAGAACAATGATTCAATCCGTTAGTTGTATTTCAAGATAAAATATTGTAACAGTTTTACGAGTAATCATTATATGTTTGCATCAAAAAACTTTTAAATTCCTGTCATATACATAATCTGCACGGTTTATTTTTTCTGATACGTTAAAAGTACCTTCGTGTTTATAAAAAAAGAACCGTATGGCGTTTGTTACTAAGGATTAAGAAAACAAAAGACATAAATGAAACATAAAAGAAACGTCCCCCATACCTGAGTTTTCCTGCATACTCGAGCTCTATGGCGCACCGGTCCCTCACGAAGTTACCATATTTGTCCAGGAACTCGATTCCTTTGTGCGTGTGGGCGGCTAAGTTATCATACTGATCCTGCGGACAAATGAAGACAGTACATTGTACGCATCTCGTTCGGGCAGCGGAGGAAGCGGGCGATACGAGGTCAGCACTCAGTGGCGGGGAAACTGACGGGTGGCGATAACTCTCCGTTAAGTGGTCAACTGCAGTCCGCGACGAATAAGTGTTATCTGCTTCGATTGTTAACCAGTACGTTGCGAAAACGACCACTAACACTTCGCAACTGTGATTATATTTAAAAGACCTCACCCTTCCGGCTCAGTGTCAGGGTACACGATTCTTATATTATACTCCTGTGTTCAAATCCCGGTGCCGATACCAATTGAGTTGTTAATTTCAATATTAAAAACGAATTTATCACGTGCTCAGCGACATGATGAAAGTGATATGCATATCATGAAAAAATTTACAAAAGTGAGAAATATAATATACTAGCTTTTCGCCCGCGGCTTCGCTCGCGTTGAAGCCCTTACTGAAAATAAATATCTTTCTTTAAACAAATCCGATTAAAAAATAGTTTGTCCTTTCTCAGGCTCTAGACTATCTGTATACGAAATTTCATTTAAATCGGTTCAGTAGTTTTGCCGTCAAAGCCAGACAGACAGACAGTTACTTTCGCATTTATTATATTAGTATTGATATGGGCTATAGATACTTTTACTTAGGTTTAGTTCTTTTAATAAGAATTATTTATCAGTTTAAACGTTGAATGCAATGCCTCAGTGACTTCTTACTTCGTAGAACAGTGTTGCGTCGTTGGTCGTTAGGACGGAATAAAAAATAACATCAAATTAGCAGCGGCGCTAATGAGTTTTCCGTTCCCACAGACAGACTATGGAGATCAGCTTTGAAAGTGTAATCAGCGTGCACCTCCGTGGAGGCCGCCCTTGACTCTCGACAAGGTAAGTGGGTTCAACGACACGGGAGTAGACTTCTGGACATTTTTCAAACGGACGGGATACGGCACTATTAAAGATAACAACTCAATTGTCGGCCACGTGATACGTACGCGTTGCCAAAAATATACTGGCCAGTTGTACGCTCCGCAATTTGAATTCGAAAGCGAAATACTCTCCCAGGGTTGAATTGCACATTTCTATATAATAATTATAATAAATAAATCGATATTTGCACTCGGGTTACTCGGGTAATACCAATATTGATACAATGAAATTTATCAACTAATTTTTTTTTAAATTACAATCTATTTATTTGTGTGTTCTATCATAAATGATAAAGTAATCATTTCATGTGACTACGAAAACAACTTGTTTTGTAACCTCAAATACAATATACCTGTTAACTGCTATACGTCAATAAGACAATGAAATGTAGGAAACACGCTCTAAATACATGTTTTATCTGCGTTGTTAACTTCCAGTAAAAGCTATGGAGGTATTGTGTACGTTATATACATGTAGCAAGATGTACGTTGCCCGTCTTGAAATCAGTGCAAACTTAAATCATATCTCGTTTAAGAAACCTCAGTATCCGGCGTCTTAATTTAGACGCCCTGCCTGGCGCTTCAAACGGTAATAAATGAGTACTCGACGAACGCAGCTCTCGGTTCTTGTATGTACTTACTTACACTATTACATATACTTGATTGTTCCGAAGTCCGAAGGTATTAATTACGACCGTATTTCGACGATTTATAAAAAAACGGACAAACGTTCAGTGACATTAATCCGGATTCCTTATAAAAGGCTAAGATTAAAATTCTAAAAAAGCGATCGAAAATGTATGTAATGTTTTTTTTTTTCAGTCATGGCTGTTATATGAATGATTTCCAAGCCCTAATATTGAGCATGCAACATAAAGTAGGAATATAAAATGTGTACCCTCTGACAATCGTCTAGTTATAAAACAGCGAGATTTCGTCATACTGACGTATTTGGCAACCACAAAGTCCGTGCGACGAGTTCCAAGTACAGATCGTCCGCAGGTTGTTTCCCGGTAGTTTTACGACGGAGAACCGCCACTTGGTGGCGCGACGTGATCACCGGCCTGCGATGAGATAAAGAAGCCGCATCGCACAATGCACGTCCGAGCGCATTGTGAACCGATTATGGAACCTTTTGTGAGCGTGCGACGAACTGATATTGGATGTGGCGTATGAACATTTCACGCGTGCCTTGGACCGATGACGCCAACGGCAGATATTGTTTGTTATAAACTCACTGTAACCAGCGTATTATTGCAGTTAGACCGTTGCCCGTGATGTAATGCATAATGGCTCAATAACACAATGCAACATGACTAAATCGAGGTTGGAAGCAGACACTGTATTTTATCATCCTCCTGCCCTTATCCCAGCTAAGTGGGGTCAGCACAACACGTGAATCGTGTTGTCACCTACAAGCTTTGGCTAGGTTGTTTTACGACCGCCCACCTGCCTGACTTCAACCCAACAAACACCTAGATCCGGAACAATTATGTGTGAGTTACAGAAATACTTGTCCCGGGTGGGGAATCAAACCCAAGAACCCCGGCACCGAAGCAAATAGCTAAGCAACTGCGGCACCGAGTCATCCAGTACTGTATATGTGCATCAGAAATAAAATATCCAAGTTCATACAGTTTATTATATCAAAGGGGGTCAATATCGTTTTCTCCGTACGGTACATGTCTCTTATATATACGAGAAATGTCTTGAATTTTTAATGACAATCGTAAAAAAAAGTTGTACACGAATGAATAATCGTCAATACAAAAGTTCTCTCTTCGATTGTTAAAATTGAAAGTCACGCATGGATCGCCGCGGATAAAATGATTCTATATTCGACAATACAAACTTTCGTTAGCAATCAATACTATTGTCAACTTGTCGGGTCGCAGATGACCGCTAGGACGGGGCCGCGTACACGCCGGGCCCCGCTGACGCTTAAACGCCTATTACGAATCGTTGAATTAAACAGTTATGCTTATTAAAATTTTTAAAGTAGAGAAAGGCTGAGATTCATAACGTGAGGTACGCGCGCCGTGCGGTATATCTCCGCTACGCGGTTCGTTAACCTGATCGCCGAAGCAGCGTCGACTATGCGAGAGCGCGAAGGCTGGACGTGGGAGAACTGGATTGGTGACACCTCGCAATTTCCACGACGGGTACGATGCGACTAAACGGCGGCAATGTCTCGCCGCTCCGCCGCACGGGGGTCTATTCTAGGAGTCATTAATGCGGCGGGGTAGTTCGGTGTACTGAACGAAAATAAGTTATGACTAACTTGCATACGCACCCGTGCGGTGATATGTAAAACGTTGGGCGCTTTATGATGGAGCGTCCGAGTGTGCGATGCGGCCGTGGTGGTTATTCTGATATTCGTATAGAGGAACGACACGATTTGCGTTCACAATGGCCGCAGTGGCAGTCCGCGGGCAAACGCGGGGCGAAGAATGCGCACGTAGAACGCCGGGAGCTTCATCAGTATTCGAGACGCGATCGTCGCGGTTACCGACACGTGTAAGGCCCTCAGTTACCTTGGCTAATTATCGGAATACGAATACGTTGACGAATTGTACGTGACGGAATCCGGACAGCGTTAGGGGCCGACTTTACTTTCGGTTGCTCCGTGCCGAAATCTGATCGCTTGTGTAACCTTCGTTCGCCCTACACGGCCTTCCAGTAATCAATTGCTTCACGTATCGTTTTTGATACCCGCTAAAGATGATATTGATTTAAGTCGAAACACTTAACTGCAGCATTATTTTCAATAAAAGCTCTCCGATCGTTTGCATTCTTATGTAGATTAAAAAGACCTTTAGCGTTTTAATCTGAATTTGTACTTACAAATTCAAATTAAAACGTTTTTTTCTCATTACATATTACTTTTACTCATTACATTACGTGTAGTAAAATCTTTGTACCCGTTTTTACGAAAATTGCGTGGACGGAGGAGTATTACATATCCCAAGCTTATATTTTGTACAAAGAAAAGAGTGCAGAATGCTAATATATTTTTTAATTATACATAAAAACAACATTACACACACTCCCATGTATAATTGGTGACCTAATACTGGGCGATCACTAGTAAAATTTAATACGTAAAAAATAAGCAGAGGTTGTTTGATTCCAACGACATTCCTGCCCCACGCACACTAGAGCGATGGGCGCCAAATGTTAACAATGATAGAATATATTCAATTGTCGTAGGTTAGGTGCGTCAGTCATCCGATGAAATAAGGCGCGCGGACGTTCAAACAATAAGTATGTCCGGCGGCGCAGTGTGTCATCGGCAGGTGGACTGAGGATACTAGAGGACTACTGAGAACTCATAAAAATGAGAAGAAGAAGCCCAAGGCCACACATTTATAAAAATCCAGAAGTTTCCATGCAATTTAATGCGCAGATATGAGCAACGAACACCAATAATACCGACAAGCTCTATAATGATAGACTATTGAAAATGATACTTCCTCGGGAAATTTAATTTGTAACATTATACATCCGGTGAAAAGTGTTACGCGGCGAAAGAGAAACCACATACCGTATGTCGGTGTCGTAAGAGAGACTTTGGGGGAAAAAAGGGGCAAAACAAATAAATCTGTGCTCTTCTACATACAAACGCAAGTTACTTCGTAAGTCCAAGACTTACGTTCCCCAAGTTACAAAGTCTGCGTAGAATATTTTTAAGGGATAACTTAAAAAGCAATTGAATTTTTGGTAAGTGAACACCACCAATAGTCCACTGAGGGTGTGTTTATCTCGTGGTGGAGGCAAAAGTACCATTACTTTTACTTTGCGCTGATCCTCTGCGTGGTGCTTCCGCAATTACGCTGGCCTATACAGCAAATACTGTTATGCATGTTGTTCTTGCTCGGCTACGTAAAAACTCGCGTTAACACCCAAATAATCGTATTGTTATTACAAGATCGCATTAACACGCCCCGAAATGTATTGCGACTGATGTCATAATTTGGCACATAGATCAGGTCAACGAACGCGCCAACATTTGGTATACAAATGTTGGCAACCTACGGACAGTCACAGTAAACATGTAGATACTAGACGTGTC